ATACCCTAAAGCCACCTTTTAAAGGTGTAAAGACTTTAGAATTTTTTCTCTTCCTTGGAAAAATTGTTTGCACTCAACTGATAATGCCTAAGCCCTGCTGGCTTCTTAGGTCAATTTATTTAAAGACACATTTGCAAAGAGAGATATAATCTGTGGTGAGGTCATAGAAAACCATATTAAGTCATTGATTAATTTTAGCATGTCCTGTCAATCCTTCACCCTTTGTATCTACTTGGAAAAACACAAGTGAATTCAGCTTGTTACAAATTTTGTTTTATAACCCCACCTAGTACCATTTCACATTCTGCTTAAGTACTTGGTCATCTATTACATGACTCATTCGTTTGAGTTCTCTGTAGAATTAAAGAAAGTTGCAGTAAAAATAATAAATGGAACCCAAGTCTCAACGACATCATCCATGTATGTTTTAAAATCATCTTTCTAGGTCAATTCAAACTCATATACAATGCTGGGGAATGGTATTCCTTCAACTTCTTTGATAAACCTATGGAAGTATTGATGAGGAAAATGACTAATGTTTCTTTTTATTGTGATTCAAACCAAAGTATATCATATTGGAAGAAATAAAGGTTTCTTCCCGGAGAAGAACCAAGGGATTATTATATGAAATTCTATTTGAGGATGCTCCCATTCTTTCCTTCAAACAAAATTTGTAGTTACTACTGCAGTCAGGACATTTAATAAAATGAAGGTTTCCTGCCTTGGTCCCTTAAGGAAAATTTGGTGAAGTTCCTAGTTGAAGAAACTTAAAAAAATATGTGACAAGGTTTCCTGGAGATTTATTTGAATAATTACATTTACAGACTATGTGAATGCTATATGGTACACTATCGGTACACAATTCATTTGGAAAAAAAATCACAGAAAATGTAATAAGAAAAGGAAACCTGACTGTTGAATGCATGTTACTAGATTACAAAGTACTCTCAAAATTTGTATCCTCTCCAGAGATCCTGGATTTTAGTACAAAGGTGTGGAGTGTGGGATAGTGCTATTATTCTCCGTTTTTGTCTTTTCATAGAAAATGTTTTATAAATGAGGCTAGCTTGGTTTGAGTTCTGGTATTTGTATCCCTGCAAATCTCTTGCCCTATCTGAGTTTCTGTTTCCTCTTGTACACTAGGAGTCATCGTGTGTAGAAAACATCTACTAGACTGAAGTGCACATAGTAGGCACTCGACATGCTATAGAAATGTTCACTGTGATCTATTAGAACCTGAAAGGGACCATCTTGAGGTCTTCATCTTACATGAGAGAAATTTCATGGTCTTGTGTTAAAATTCATGATGAATCGAAAGTTGATGGCATTATTGTCTATTTTCGTGTTGAGGAAAGGGGAACCTTGGTAAGGGATAGTGACTTGTACAGCCATTCAGGACTTTATATGGATAAATCAAGAAAATGCAGGCTTTCTAGCCTGGAATTCTCAATCAGCTGCAATTTCTCACAAACAGAAACAAATGGACAAACCAAAGTGAAACACAACACAGCTTCTGATCTGTGAACTTTGGCTGGTAGGCTTTTGGTAGGATTTAATAATTTACTCCAACTTTAGGATCAAGAATCTCAAAAGCAATATTTTTTTTCAGCTTAGCTTTAGAATAAGTTCAGAAAATTAATGTACTGCCTTGCTAATCAACATTTCCTAGCTGTACCTTGAGTAGTTAAGGACATGTTCCAAAGTCTGCCTAAAATTGCAATACATTGCTTGTTAATGTAATAGAGCAGTGGTTCTCAACTTTCCTAATTCTGAGACACTTTAATATAGTTCTTCATGTTGTGGTGATCTCAACCATAAAATTAGTTATGTTGGCATTTCATAACTGTAATTTGCTACTGTTATGAATTATAATGTATATATCTGATATGCAGGATATCTGATATGTCAACCTAGGTTGAGATCTTCCATCTTAGAGCAAGCTTTCTTTCCCAACCTAGAAATGGCACTCCCCAGATGTACATTTCCATTTTCTACTGATCTGCAGTTTTTCATTATGAGCTTGTGTGTAAGGGGGGAAAAATCACGTCTCTACTTAAAGCAATTTGAAGGAGTGGCAAGAAGGAGCTGATTCACATGACAGACAGTTGTAAAGCAAAACTGCAAGCAACTTACACTTTCTTGAGAGACAAAGAATCTGCAAGAAAACTTCAAAGATGAAATTACCAATTAGTAATACTCCTTTCTCAATTTGCACACTGCAATTTCATAGCTTCTTACATGAATTTTCCTTCTACAGAAGTCTATGAAACTGTCTCATAGCATTCCACATAAGACTCTCACTGGAGATTTAGTGACAAGGGTGAGTGTTGTGTAAGTTCATCGTGGAGATAGGAGTTGCAGCTGGACACTTGAGTTTCTCACCAGTATGTTGAAGGTGACTGATATGTGCACCAAGGTTCCACAATCTAAGTGATTTTAAAACTCACTATCAGGGTATCAAACATTGTTTCTGTTGTCAAAGGGGATGTGGTACATTCCTTCATAGTATATACCATAACTTCCACTTCTTTAAGTATTCTATTTCACTCATTGGATCTGGACAAATTTTAAAATAACAGCATCAGGAAAAGTATATGAAAGTTGTTCAGATGAGTTCAGACGATCAGCTGTCTGTCTGAGCCTGATGTACTCAAGGCTGCTTTGAAAGTATAGTAGAGGATGGTAAAGGCCATTCATGTAAAGAAAGATGAGTACATCAAGATGAAAGAAAACACACTGCTGGGTATGACAAGAAGAAAATCTGAGTTTGAGATCAGCTTTAATAGACATATAAATTTTGACACTCTAATTACTGATACTTCAAGAGTTCGTGTAAATCCTGCTCATCAGGGCTCTTATTGCCGTTTCCGAAGCAGAAAACCTATACCAAACCAATTCTTTGCTTTATTTGAACAAGCAGAGATGTCATTCTCTATGTAGCACGTTGAATGCGGTGAGATGAGTAGTTTTCAGACTAGCAGCAACCCAGAGGGATGTCAATTTCAGGCACAATACAAGCCCGATTCCTCCTTATTGCGTATGCAGAAATCTTTATAATACCCACAAGAGTTTTAAATCTGTATAAAAGGTAAGATCCAACCTGATTTTTTTGAGAGATGAGTTGATTATAAGTTGCACCTGAGTTATTCATTTACTCCTTGAATATTTATTGTAGGCCCACTGTGTGGATGTAGAGAAAAAGAAACACTTTACTATAATACTTAGGAGATTTACTTTCCCTCAGGGAATACCTGGCATAAATAAGAGTTATTTAAATGATCAATTAGAAAAAAAAACACATTTGAAGAATCCTATATACTGCTCAAGATTGGTGGAGGGATGGGTAAAGTTATAAAATATTAGATGTTGTTTCACATTGCAAAGTTCTATACAAAAAAGTCTTTCTATTTATGAAGGAACTGGGAAGCAAAAGAAGACAAAATACAATCAAGTGTTAATTGCATAGTGTAGATACTGCTTAAGAACTTCAGGTTTAATGGGGTGGGGTTGGCTAGAAGGGTTTTAATAGAGACATGGCAGTTGAAGAACCTGAAGTCTTTGAACTATCATAGTAGTTTGAATTTAATTCCAGTATGGCCAATGTCAAATGGCTAAAGAATAGCCTCTTAATGTTTGAAATACTAAGTGAATTTCTAACAGATTAAATGCATTGGCCTTACAGTACTTATTGACATGGAAAGATATTTATAATACATGAAGTATGAAAAGCACATTACAGAATGGCAATATATACTATGAGTCTACTCTTATAGAATTAAAACATATGCTGCACATGAAAACATTCTAAAAGAATAAAAACTCTAAAGTTAATGATAATTTTCTATATGTGGTAAATGCTGATTTTAATTAAAAACATTTCACTCTTCCCTTTGTTCTTTGCTTTGTTTTGTTTTTGTTTTGCAATAAGGGTGTAGTATTTTTAACACTTCATCCTGGCTTTGTGAAATCCAATGAAATGAATACTTTGTAAAACTCACTAAAATAGCCAGGCAGTGGTGGTGCATCCTTTTAACCCCAGCATTTGGAAGGCAAAGGCAGGTGGATTTCCTTGAGTTCAAGGCCAGTCTGGTCTACAGAGTGCCAGGAGAGGCTCGAAAGCTACACAGAGAAACCCTGTCTCAAAAAACAAAAACAAAAACCAAAAAACAAAAACCCACTAAAATAATTATGCACCCATGCATGCATAAAACACTAGGAGAAAGACAAAGTCTAAGTAAGTAAGGAGATGATACAGATGATATCTATTGACAGACCATCCATAAATTTATAAGTCTAAAGGTGGACATACTATAAAATTATGAAGTTAATTGGGAGACACAGACTTGTTCATTAACTTCCAGACAATGGAGGTAAAGGTTGGTCGTACAAGATAGGGAAGTGAGTTTTAAAATAAGGTTAAGCTCCCACTATAGGCAAAATAATTGGAATCTTTTATCCTAGAGCTAATGTAAGTTTAAAAACATGTAGCCTAAAAATAATATAGATACTTTGAAGGAAGAAAGGTTCATTAATGTTTGTTAAATAAAAGATAGGGATGCTATGAGATAGTCAGCATTTCAGACGTGGTAGAAGTTGGGAACAGGCCTCATTAGCTCCAATACAGGCCATAGACAGAAGGAGAGAACTTGGGGGCTCTAGGCTGGAACCAGTTAACTCTATAAACACTGGAGCGTGGAGTTCCCAGAAAACAATACCCAGGACAGGGTAGATATCCTGAGAGGCACTTCAATGGCTCAGGGCATTAGTTATTTGTTAATCACAATAAAAAGCATATCCATCTTTTGAGAACAATCATGGTCATACTAATGCCTATCATTTAAACATTTGTCTTGATGTACTTATCTTCTGTAATATACTGGAAAATCTGTCTACAAGAGACAGAATGTTGAGATCGAGTACAGGATGACAATAGCTTTAAGACTCAGTGAAGTCAAACAAAATATGCAGTCAATTAAGGAACAGAATTTTGTTTGTTTTACCTCGTGGGCTGTTCAATGATGCTTCTGAGGCTTTTCCACCATCTCCGCAGTGACTCTGATCAAAGGGAAGGCACTGATCACCTGTTCCCGCCACTACCTCAAAATTCTTAGACAGATCTTTTGTTTCCACAAGTGATTTCAGTTTGTAGACTTTTCGAGTATTGGTGTCTGATAGGTAGAGTGATTCAGACATAGGGTCCATAGCCAGATAGTACTTGTGTGCAGGGCTTGTGCTAGGGAAGAGGAAAAAAATTATTAGAAGTAATATGTTCAACTTGCACCCCAGGAGTATGTTTTTTTTTGTAACAAATGGATAAAATACTTTAATAGATGAAATAATTTATGTATCCTCCAGATTAACATATAGACACATATTGTCCACGGAGAGTAGAAAGAAACAAAATTATATGCCAGGAGACACTCTTCATATTCCATTATCCAATCATCAGCTGGATGATACCTCAAACTCACCAAATTTAACACAACCATTCTTTTCCTCACTTCCTTCCCATCTCTAGTAAACATCCTCTTCTCCTCTTTTTACCTTCCTTGGGGACACTGACATCTTCCTAGGTGTCTCTTATCAATCAAAAAGCCTGTTTCAAGCTAGAGGATTGCTGATCTTGGAGGGCTGAGTCAGAAATACATGGTTCAATTTCCAAATTCCCCCTTTGAACTCACCAACACTTCTCTAACACACTTTTCCTTCTGTCAGACACTGATGATACTTAATATTTCTAAGGTATAATCATGGCATTCTAGTTTTTTTCTTGTCATGATAAATATCAATCACAAGGCACATCTGGGGAAGAATGGATTTATTACCTCTTTTAAGTCAGAGTCCACCTAATTTAGTGAACCTAAGGTGGGAACCCAAGGCAGGAAAATGGATCAGGAAGTGAATCAAAGACCATGGAAAAATGCTGCTTAGTGGCTTGCTCTCCATGAATTGCTAGGCTTCTTATACCACTCTGGATGACCCACCTAGCAGTGACACTGCTTATAGTGGGCTGAGCCCACCCACATCAATCAGTAATTATGACAATGACCTACAGATGATCTGATGGAGGCAGTTTCTCAGTTCCCTCTACCCAAGTGATTCAACTTTGTGTTATGTTGTCAAAATTAACCAGCATACGTAGTCACATGGCTGTGTACATAGATTCAATTTGTTATCCGTCACATAGAAGGTGCTTTTGAAGTTGTATCCATTTTATCCATAGTGTCTTTGTAATTATTCTGATCACTTACTTCCATAGTTAGAGATGTTCTAAATTTTTTATGCAGTATACTAAACCTTTTTACTTCATCTATTCTCTCATGCTTTTAATGGCTTCCATGAAGGAAGCCTTCCCTAAATCTCTGCATTTTATTATTTGCATAATGCTTAGGGAGAACACATACAAATTAAATGATTTGCTTAGATATCAGTGTCACCCAGTCTAATACATTGTAATAATTAGCAGGAGAGGAACTATCGCAGTTAAATAAGGATCAGGATAAACAAATAGGCCGAATAGATGTTTATTCAGGGAGAAATAATTTACAACCTAGACAGATGAACACCAGGAAACTCCACCCGATGCTCTCCTGTCGGAGTCACACCAGGCAGTGAGCTTTTCTCGGCCCTCTCTCTGACCTCCTTCCACAGGTCAATTCTGCCCATGGCTCCACCCCCAAATGGGCGTGGTCAGTGCCACAGAAGGACTATCTCACTACAAGTAACTATTTCCTTTTTATTTCTAATATGTTTAGTGGAGAACTCTGCTCCATACCTACTTGTTACACCACAAGTAAGATATCATTCTTTTCCAATTCCTTTCTACCATTTCTCACATGTATAGAACATAATTTTCTTGTCACCTTCTACTTTCTAACTTCTTCTGCAGTATGTTCCCTTTTTTTGTGCTGTCACTAGTCCAAATGCACATTGTCTCTTACTGGAGCATTCATTGGTGCCATGTCAATTGCCCTCTAAACATATGCGTTAATAATTATAAAGTTGGCAAATGGTAACTTTGAAACTCAGCTTATAGTTTTGTACTGGAAGAAAACTGGATTCAATGGGAGTAGCTTGTTTTTTCTACTTGCCTTCTTTTAGTAAGATAACTCAGTAGATTCCAGGGATGTCTTTCAACCCTGGAACCACCATGACAGGTGCTGTACATAAATTGTAAAGGGCACCACCAGATTCCAAAATTGATTTGGCAGCTTTACCAGCAAATCATCTCTGCAGCAGGCTTCTCAAATAGGTGGATGAGGAAAGTGTTTTATGTATTTAGTTCACTTTTTGCCTTCAGAATAATATTTCTCCAACATACTTATATTTTCTTACAGTAAAGGATGGGTTGCAACCTTTCCTGGAAATAACCTTTATTCTTTGGTAGTCAATTTGTGCGGTTTCAACTGAGCCAGATTAATCATGCTTTGTTTAGGTAGGGTACATGGGCTATTTTTCCAAGAGAAATGTTATTCACACAAAAGTACTTTGGAATGCATTACATTCATTCATTATTGAATATCTCCAATGTGCCTGTAAGCTAAGTTAGAATTAGTATTCATCTCAAACTTCAGCTGGGGAAACCCAGAACCATAAAGGGGCTTGCCCAAGGTTACTAACAGTTCTGTGCCCTTACTAAGACCAGATTAAGTCACATGTGACTGTGTGTGCGAAAAGCCAACAGAACACTCCTGATCTGAAAGCAGAAAAGACTACTAGTGTTCTAACCTTTTCCTGAGTAACTAGTCATGTTTTGTTCATCACGATTGTCCTTCATCTTTATATACTGGCTTTCAGAAAAGGGAATAGCCAAACATAACAAATTCAAATCTAATTAATGTTATTTTCTCGACAGAAATATACCCTGCATTGATATGCAATTTCCTGGCATTTTCAAGTACACTGCAGCTTCATTGACAATGGTTTCTTTGAGCTTTCTGAAAACATGCAAACTTGCTGCACTACAATCCTATTTGCTTTACTCCATTGTGACTAAATACGTGTCATTTTGACAGATAGGAGGATTTCTTTTGCAATCTGAGTGTTAGACCTACAGTGTCACATTTGGGTTAAGTTTATTTTCAAACTATTGATCTTCAAGTAAGCAGTGATCATTTCATTCATACTATTTAAAATCACATGGATTTGTAAATGGAGAATTAACACATACTTTTAATGTGTAGTTCACCAGTAAGCAAATTGGCAACCAACTAAATTTTCTTAAAGAATCAAGCTATGATAAAGTTGCAAAACTAATTTTGTGCACCAGCATTTGGGAAGAAACATCTTCCAAATACAATCCATATTCCACACTGTACTGGGATATTTTGATGACAACTGGCACTTGGAAATGAACAAATTAAATTTTTTTCCTTTGAAATTTCAGAAAGTTTGAATAGTTATGACAGGTGTAATACACAAATGAGTTGAATAAAAATCTCTATCACTAATTTTAGTGCTGTGTGGTATTGCCTGTAAATGGTCAGTTTAGAGCTTTTCAATTACTTCCTTTGGTTAGAGAAAAATAGAATCCATTAGATATGTCAAAGGAAAAAGATATTATTAAAGAAAGTTATCAAATGCAAAAAGCAACTCTCAGTTAAAAAATGAAGGACATTATGGTCACTGTTCTTAATATAATTGACAACTATATTTTTAAGAATTGGGAGAAGAAAAACTTGAAACTTAAAAACATTAAACTGATTTGAACTTATGGACTCATTTGTGATATCACCTTAGGGAAACATAATGAGTCTTTTGGCCTTACCTTCTCATGACATACTGAACTGCCATCTCTCATTTATCTTATTTTCTTTTCTGAGTGTTGTTTTTTTTTTTTTTTTCCTTCAGTAAATTCCTACTGAATATACTGACCTTCTTTTTTGGAATACACTATTTCTTCAACCTTAAGCAGCAAGCATCCCCTATTTGCACATTATTCTAGGATGTGTAAGAGGGACATTAGGTAACTGCTTGTGTGATTTGCTTACCTATGTCTGGTATCTCTGTTTCTATGGTGCACAAGTTGTCCATGAGTAGCAAGGGAAAAAAATAGGGAATCATTAGTATCATTGAACAAGAGAAATCTCAGTAGACACATCAATTCATGACTCAGCTTGTGGCAATTAAAAAGACTGCACTGGGATCATTTAGTCAGTGGGAAGCCAAAGTTGACTCACTCTTTCCATGGATCTCCTTAAAAGATGGTGTCAAGGTGGTTACATGTCTTGCTTTGGTGGGACATAATACAGGAAGACAATAAAAAACTGTTCCCTGGCCGTGTGCATCAGGACCATTAGATTCTAGCCCATGTGCAGTATTCTGGGAGCTCTCTCTTATCCTGCTAAACCAGAATTCTGACACTGGAAAGTAGTGATTTGGGATTTTATTTTTAACAAATTCAGCTAGTGATTTTGATGCAGAGTTAACATTTAAGAACCATTGGTCTTGGAGCTGAAAAAGCAGCTTCTACAAAGGGACTTTCTGAATTATAGTTTGATAACCCTATCATACAGAAATATAAAAACACTGTGTCTCCCTATCAACACTTGTACTGGACACATAACCCAACCCTGACCTCAGAGATAATGTAGGGACATCTGTGTGCATAGTTATTGATACAATTTTAAAAAGGTCTCTTAACTTAAATGTATGGGGGTTTTCTCTGCATGTTACAATACTGACATGGCTGGCAGAATGTACTCATTGATGTCATAGTGCTATGAAAATTACGGGGTAACCAATCATATTCTGATTGAATACAAAACTGTTGTTCCTCAGGAAGGATGTCATGCCTGATGAAGTAAACTTGATCAAAGGTACATGACTAGGGGATCACAGGTCCTGGGGGAACCTATAGTTGTAATGTTAAATGGTCATGTTGTCAAACTGCTTTCTAAACATTTATGTTTATATCCATAGAATGTTCTGATGTCAGTTTTGGTTAGAGAAGGATATTTCTGCAGTGGGTAGTAGATAATACAATGACTTAATATCTGGTCAAAATACCAAGAATAAATGACTGTTGGTGATCAGCTATGGATGAGTCATTTATATTAACCTCCCGCCATATAAGGCTTAGGCAACATCACAGGAGAATGAACAAAGAATGTCAGAATTTATGGATTAGGAAGAGAACAGTGAAATGCAGACTTCATTTTTCTTTTTCTTATTTGACATGTCAATCCTACTTCCTTTTCCCTCCTTCCGTCTCTCCCTCCCTCATTCCTTTCCTCTTTCCTACCCTCCCATGGCCCCCTGACCACCCTCTCATCCCATTCCCCCTCCCACTACACAGGTAGGTTGATGCCTTCCAGGAGGGGGTCAACACAATCTGTCAAGTCATTTGGAGTAGGGACTAGGCCCTCCCTCCTGCCTCTAGGTTAAGGGAGTATCCCTCCATGAGGAATGTGCTCCCAAAGTCCTTTTGTGCACCAGGGATACATCCTGGTTCCACTGTCTGAGGTCCCTTAGACTGCCCAGGCCTTCTAGATACCCATGTTCAGGGGGTCTGAGTCGGTCTAATGCTGGATTCCCAGCTATCAGTCTGGGGGCCCATTAGCTCCTCCTTGCTCAGGTCATCTGTCTCTGTGGGTTTCAGTAGCCTGGTTTTGACCTCCCTCTCGAAATGCAGACGTTTGACATTATGTGGCTGCTCTACACATCAACTATAGCACCTGTGGTTACATGCATAAGACCTGTATAATATCTAGCCTGACACTCTTCCAGTACTAATGGAGAGGGTCTTCTGAGGCCTAATCTTTGGCAGAAGGGTAATTTCCAGTCAATAGTTGCTGGTTGAACGAGAGTCACTATCCTCTGGGGATATGGTTGCTAGTGGTTTGCCAATATACTAGTGGATGGCCCCATATATACACAGATAGGAGCAACACTAATTTAACTCAGGAATTATTAACAACAACAACAAAGGGGGCATTAAGTTGGGAGGGAGTAAGGATTGGGGGCACTAGAGAATGTTGTAGGGATGTAATGAATGGTAGATGGATATGACTGAAATAAATTATATAAATGTATGAAATCTTCAAAGAATTTTTTAAAACGGGGACTTTCCCTTAGATCGCAGTAGAATGTCCTTAGCATTAAAACTGCTGCATCAAAACAGCTTCAATAAAACATCATGTACATCAACTATTAAAACCTTGTGTCTTCCAGCCATCTGTGCTCCAAAGGGCAACCAGGGTGGGCAAAACAGAACTGTCAGCTACAAAGAAGTGGAACGTTTAGTAAGCACTTCATTTAATAGCTTCTTGACACAGGGTATTGCCTTGGATGTTTCACTGGGTGACATGGTATAATGTTTCTCACATGAGGGGCTCAGGCTGTGTGCAGGCCTGACTTTAGGTCAAGTTTGCCTGGAAATAAAAGGCTATAATCATCTGTGAAATATAGTCATTTTAATTTTAAAATCCTTTTAAATCTGGCCCTTAGGTCACTTTGAAGACATGAAGATATTAAACCTTTTTATAAAAACCAGGAAATGTTCTTTTTCTTTGACTGTCCAGGAAAAAGGAAAGATACAGAATTATTTTACTTGAAATTTTCTGCTAAAATGGATTCAACTCTCTTGAAAAAAAATCTTTCCAAGATACTAGCCTGGCCACAGGTCATACTCTACTGTCTCTTCTGTCTCTTCTGTTTCCTTGGTCCATCGCGAAAGAGTAAGTATTCAGCCAGTAATGAAACAGAGCTCTGATTAGAAAGAAAGCTGACCTCAGGTTTTTGTGCCTTTCTCTTTGTCTATTAGACATTGTTTTTGAGGTTGTTGGAGCCAGGCGGGCTCTAATCATGGGAACAAGTCAATTCTTCTAAGGGAGTCTAGTTGTGAAAACACTAGATGGATCTCATTAAAATATGATTTCATCTACAGCAATTTGTATTTGCATGGTATAACAAGAATCATTTGTGTGTCTACAGAGGATTTTCAGATTCTTAGGTGATGGCAAGAAGCAGAGAGGGAGATGGTTTGATTCTCTCTCAGTTGCGTCTGATCCTGCCAATAATGTCATTGTGAATTTGGAAGATGCCCCATATTATGCAGAGCAGCTTCTCTCATTAACATCTCAGAGGGAGGAAGTGAAAATGATGGAATTTATTTCTAGTGTGTGACCTTGTTCTGTCTTAAAATTACTTTTAGTTAAGGATTTAGAATTGAAACCACTACCAAAGTGAACCTGCTGTCTAGCTATCAACTGGCTACATACTGAGCTGCCAGTGTGTGAGCTCTTCACAAGTGCCAAGGCCCATCAGTGGTCATTAATACCTGGGAACTGACAGTCTTGAAGCTTGTCATGAGTTAAGAGAAGAAAAGAGGGGAGTCACAACTCCTTTGAGAGCAAGGGACATTCCTAATGAGAGTATCTGTGGATTAACCCTTGCTTTCTTTTTTCCAGGATAAAGATGATAAAAAGGGCCATCTACTCTTTTTGGATTTAAAAGAAAAGAATTGCAATATGATTTTATGCCATAATTATACACTTTTAAGATGTACATTTCAGCAATTTCAAACACATTCAGTTATGCAACCCTTATGATTAACAAGATCAAGAATAAATTCTGTACCTATTTGATAATTATCATTTTTTCATTTATTTCCTTCTCCTCTACTTTGTCCCAGATAACCAAAACTGTATGTATGTATTTTGTCTGCATAGACTTACTTATTCTGTATTGTCACAGAAATATAATCATACTGTATTTGTACTTTTATGGCTGTATTCTTTCATTGTTGTTGCTGTTGTTTTTAAGTTTGTTTCTTTGTGTGTGTGTGTGTGTGTGTGTGTGTGTGTGTGTGTGTGTGTGTGTGTGTGTGTGACTAAAGATGGGAAATAGGGGGCCATGTCAACCTTAGAGTAGCTATTCAGACTTTGTGTCAGGGGAGCATGAGTGTCTTACTTGGTGATTGTTGCAACCCTCCATGCATTCTTTACTCTGTTCCTGGTTTCTCTCCTTATTCCTGAACAGAAATAATTGACTCCCTTCCTTGTTCAACTTTCTGAGTTCTTAATCTCTTGATCATTTGGAATCCATGCTTGTTTGTGATTGACTTCTTTTAAAAAATATTTAAATGTTTTAAAACTTCTTTATTGATTCTTGGTGGATTTCACACCATGCATCCCTATCCCACGCATCTTCCTGTGCCGTCACATCTGTCCTCTGCCCTTATAATGTCTCCACTAGGATAAAGCAAAATTTAAAAGAAAAATCAAACACCAAATATAATAAGCAAACAAACAAAAAAAAGGAGAAGAATCTCATCGTGGAAGCTGTAGTGTGGCCCATTGAGTCACATAGTTTATCCTTTAGTCCATATTTCTTTACTTTCAAGTATTCATTGACTTGAGTCATTGGCCTGGCTCAAGGCCTCTGGCTTTTGCTACAGTGCTGATAATGGGCTCTTACTGCAACTCTTCTTGGATATTCTTTTGTTGTTCTGTATGTGACTGACTTCTTAGAGCTTCGAATTCCACCAAATGTCATCTCCCATGCTCTGGCTTTATCCCTATTATCAGAAATTGTCATGTGTTTTAAAGCCACTGCTAACATATGAGTTGAAACTCAGGTGGGGCATAGCTATCTATTTTATCTACAGGCAGTGTTTCTAGTATTTGTAGTTCTAGTCTGTGAACAAAATGTTGATTTGTGGCAATTTCTTAGTTATTCATAGAATTCTTCAAAGCTAAGGTTCTGTTTGATCCTTTTTAAGAGTTTCTGTGAGTTTCAAAATCCCTTGGCATGTTAACTACTCCTAAGTAGAAACTATACCAAGTCTCCTCCATTTCCAACCAATGATAGGAGTCAAGTCCTATAGGTAATGAGAGAAATATTAACCAGTCACTGGAAAAATGGTAAAAATCTCTTGAGAAATTTTCATGTCATGTTGACATTCGTCTAGTTCAAATTGCTCAAAGTACTAAGGTATATTTTCTAATCTCTTATTTTCTTTTCTCTTTCATATTTAGGGGAAGGAAAAAGAAATATCTTGAGAATAACT